TAAAAAAGCAAAGTTGACCTTGTCCTGACCTTGGCGACGTCATCTTAGGTCAAATAACTACTGTCATTAAATGCGACTTTTTAAGCCTTAGAACTTTTATTCGAAACATTTTTCTCTAAAATGCTCCCCCGCCGAGTTTTCTTGCCGTTGCCGAACTTATGGGACACACTGTATATGTATATATATATATATATATATATATATATATATATATATATATCCATTCTGGATATTATAAAAGGAGATCAAATCATCCAAATTGATTGTCGTATTTTAATGTAATTTATTCCATGTATAAAAATTTACATATTACACATGCTTAATTTTTAAACAAAAGTAGCAAAATAAAGTGAAAATCCTAATTCTTACCAGAGGTCTTTAGCTTTCCAATAAGAAGTCTTTAACTTCAACAAAGACACAAATATTTTGTTTAGAGTAATGATATGATAGTACAAATTCTCAAAATACGTTGATTGAAGGAGTATTGGAGAACACTAGGTATCATATTAAGTAACCAAAATATATAAATTGCTAATTATTACTACTGATTATTATACTGTAGTATTGGTTTCAGCGATTGTGAACCTTCCAACACGTTCCCTGGAAATTCGGCTGGTAGTTCATCGAATAGCAGTCTATCGACAAGAAGTCTAGATAGTCCTAGTACCAGCTTAGAGCAGGTACACCCTACCACGTCAGCAGCAAACGCATCAACTTCGTGGGATAGTGATGTCGATGTTGAAGCTGACCCACCTGATTGGAGTCAAGCTGTTGCTGAGGATGTTCTCGCGCACCTTAGCAATCCCGAGAAAAAGAGGCAGGAAGTTATTAATGGTGAGTGATCTACTCAAATTGAAAAGTCACGTTAGTTACTATGAAAATTTAATGATAGAAACAATATATATAAAATTTATATATATGTTGACATTGTAATCTATATGAAAACTTTTAAAGCTTTAAATAAAAAAAAAACTTAAGAACTTTTTTATATTCAGAAAACATTATTTAAAAAAAATAATTTTAAAAGAACAATTTCTTTTAAAAAGAAAAAAAGAAGGTTCAATGCAAAAATTAATATAAGAATCAAAATTAATTTTAACCGCAGAATATCACATTCTTTTGGAATCTCGATTTCATCACCCTAAATATAGTGTATCCAGTTACTTTCAATTATCAATATTTCCTCGAAAACTGGATATATTTTGATATTTTTTTTATTTGGACGCCAAAATATCGACGAGATATACGTTGGTATTAAGATTATCTAAACTTCTCGTCGAATACATTTATATCATTAATTTTGATTGAGATTTTATTAAAAAAAGTTAATTTTGTAAAAAGATCAAATATATATAGAGTGTCCCAGACCTCCATGATCACACTTTGCAAGAACGTAGAACGGATTGAGGTGAGTTAGAAAGTTCCGTGCCGTTTTGCGATAGTTTTCGAGAAATTAATTATTTTGTCTGAGATAATCATCACACGGGAAGCGGCAGCCGAAAGAAAGATATCTTCGACCGGCATGTGACCGTGATACACGCGAATCGCAATTCGCTCCCTCCGCCCATAGCTACGAGACACAGTGAGGTTTGATACATTAACATATGTGCATAACATGTGTGCCGAATCGATGTCGAATCTAAGAATGTGTTGCCGCTTCGTTGTTTCACTTCTATATATACATATGCAGCGACGACGACACGCTTCGATTTGCCGTCGATTCGGTACGCGAATATGTCATACACATATATTAGTATATCAAACCTCGTTGTGTCTTGCAGCTATGGGCAGAGGGACGTAGCGCGTATTACGGTCGCTCGCCGGTCGAAGACATCTTTCTTTTGGCTGCCGTTTCCCGTGCGTTAATTAGCTCAGAGAAAATAATTAATTTCTTGAAAACTGTTGTGAATATCGCAAAACGGCACGGGACTTTCTTGCTCACCTCAATCCGTTCTACATTCTCGCAAAGTGTGATCATGGAGATCTGGGACACCTTGTACATAAATTTCCTTAACTCCTTCACTGTAGAGAGCAAAATCACTAAGTGGGCCAAAAATGTGCAGGACGTTCCGTCGCGAAAAGTGTTAATAGTATTGCCATTGAAATCAGTGGTAAAATCATTTGGACTAATGATAAAATTATATGAACCCAACGGCGTTGTCATTAACGAATGATTTTACTACTTGAAATATTCAGTAGGAAAATCCTTCGGTTAGTGGTAAAATATTTTACTATTGAATGTATTCCAGTAGGAATATCATTCGATCAATGGTATATTAGTTACCATTGGATACTTATCAATAAGAATATCATTCAATCAGTGATATAATATTTTGCCATTGCTACGTCGACCGTAAAAAGTGTTATCGTTAAGGGGATGTCGGAGTTGATTCCGAACTTCGAAAGTGCCAATAACGCAGATTTTATAGTTCAGAGATTGCCGTTAGATGGCAGTGGATGTCTCGCACAGCAGCTGCACAACGCGATTTCAAGCTCAGACATGCGAACCAGCGTTGCCATATCTAAGATGCAAGTCCGTGCGGCGCAGCGCACTATATTTATGCTGTCTGCCTGTTAAAAGGAGATGCCACAACTTGTTAAATCGATTTCCGAACGAGTCATAGCACGTTAGATAGCTGCAATATTGGGCATGAACATCCTAACGGGGTTTGTGCAAGTGGATCTTTGTGAGAAATAATAGTATAAAGTTTGGGTCGCGGAGCTGTAGCATACATAGGGCTAAAGTTACGGCTCTTTTTCAACGAGGTGGTGTGGCTGAGCGAACTAAGACTCGCGCGCCGAACATTTTTAGGCCGGCGGCGAACGTTCGAATCTCGTCGACGACTTGTCCGTGTGCGGTTTTTTTTTTAATTTTTTCTTACCTTAGGAAATGCAATTAATGCTTTCTCAGTATAATATATTAATTTTGAATATATCTTTCGTTTTTATGCTATTAATCAGAGGTAATTAGGGAAGTGTCAGGCTTGTTTAACGTAAACATTACATACATAATACACACATAATTTGCATTACTTACGATGAAATATATTTTTTATACATCATTTTCTTATTAAAACATTGTATACAACATTGTCACATAATAAAACTTGCTTGTAAAACTTACACGTTATAAATTTGTTATTTTGTCGCAATGTTGCGGATGGAATGCTGTATAAAAACATGCATGCAGTTGGTACAAACATTTATAATGTTTCACTTGATTTTACACAGCATTCCATCCGCAACATTGCGACAAAATATTTGAAATTTATAACGTGTAAGTTTTATAAGCAAGTTTTATTATGTGACAATGTTGTATACAATATTTCGATAAGATAATAATGCATTAAAAATATATTTGATTGTAAGCAATGCAAATTATGTGTGTATTATGTGTGTAATGTTTGCGTTAAACAAGCCTAACACTTCCTTAATTTTGTATCCCTGATTAATGGCATAAAAACGAAAGATATATTAAAAACTAATGTAGTATATTGGAAAAGCATTAATTGCATGTCCTAAGGTAAGAAAAAATAAAAAAATACCGCACACAGACAAGTCGTCGACGGAATTCAAACGCTCGCCGTCGGCCCAAAAATGTTCGTGAGCTTTAGTTTGCTCAGTTACGCCGCCTCGCTGAAAGAGAGCCGCAACTTTCGGCCTATGTACGCTACAGCTCCGTGACCCAAACTTTATACTATAATTTCTCACTAACAAAGACTCACTTGCACAAATCACATTAGAATATTGATGCTCAACATCGCAGTTATCGAACGTACTATAACTCATTCGGAAATCAATTTAGCAGGTTGTTGCATCTCCTTGTTAGATGTGGCACTTCTTATGCAAGCGTTTCTCCCCGTCCATTTGCATGCACACACACATACATCCATGTAAGGGCGAACGTTGAATTTACTGGATGTCAAACGTAGCCTTATACAAATCGTTATGAACAGGATAACACATACAAACGAGAATCGCGTATATATTCACTTCGATTCATAGTCGTATTCATAGACTGAATATAAAAGACCAGTTGTGATGATAACGAGAAAGAGATGGATAGCGAAACTCGTATTTCCGTTTTTCTTTTAGCGCCCAATCAGAAAGATAAGGTATTCGGTTTTCACCTCCTCTCTATTTATCTAATATTTTATGTTTATTTTTAGCCGAGCTTTGCTGCTGAAAAATTGACCACGCTCGATCTATTAATGAAATATATTATTCGGCCTCCAAGTACCGATTATACACGGTAGAATGTAAAGCATTATTTGTAATACCGTTATATATATACCGTTTATATATATATATTTTTTTTTTGGAAACGGTAATGGTATATTTCTTGAAGTGAGAAGTAGCAGTATTTTCACTCAATGTAGTGAAAGTAGTGTCAGTCGAAATCACAAGAGTAAATGTTTCATTCAAAACGTGAAGTGTAGTTTGATTCTATAGGAGTAAATGTTTTAATCGATTCAAATACACAAGATTTATTTTTACTTTTGACTGAAAATAATCATTCAATGGTTGAAATAAGAGAATTCATCCTATAAGAGTGTGCTTTACATGTTTCATGTAAAGTAAAGCACAAGTAATATTGAAGGCAAGAGAACCATACATGTAAACCATTGGCAAGAAGCACACGTAAAACAAAAATTTCTGTACAAATACTTACTGACAAGAAGTACATGTCAAATGAGACAAGTGTGGCAATAACAATTGAGAAGCATCTTGTACGGCAAAAAAGACATATGTGGCAGTTGTTACTGACAAACACTATACATCTAATAAGATGACTCTGCTTGTAACTACTGTGGAGCAGCATACATAAAAAAAAAAGACGACTCTGACAGTAGTTACTGACAAGCAGCACTGATAAGACACCTCTGCTTGTCATTGCTGCAAAGCAGCTGAGACAACTCAAGTAAGACAACTCTGCATGTAACTACTGGAAAATAGAACACGTAAACAAAACAACTCTAACAGTAGTTACTGACAAGCAGCACACGTGAAATAAGGCGCCTCTGCTTGTCATTAGTGCAAAGTACCTCACGTCAAGTAAAACGACTCTGCTTGTAACTACTGCGAAGTAGCACACGTAAAAAAAGACGACTCTGACAGTAGTTACTGACAAGCAGCACACGTTAAATAAGGCACCTCTGCTCATTATTGCAAAGCAGCTGACGTCAAGTGAGGCTCTGCTTATAACTACTGGGAAGCAGCACACGTAAAAAAATACTTTGACAGTATTTACTGACAAGTAGCATACACGACTCTGATAATAACTGACAAGCACCATATACGTCACAATTGACGTATGGCAATTGTTACTAAGAAGCAGTACACGTCAGATAACACTATTATGGCAAACTATAACAAACGTAAAAAAAATTGCATCTGACAGTAAATACTGGCAAACAGTACACTAATGTACACATTTGAAAAGACGCCTCTGTTCCCAATTATTATGTACATACCATTTTGGTTTCGCTGCTCGCATGAGTATTTTTTTTTCTTCATATCCTAACTGTTTGGCTGTTTTCGGAAACCGAGAGTCGTACTTGTCGTATGTTGTCGTCTGCTAAGAGGTTATGTACGCGCACCCATGGATGTAGGAATATAAGGATAGAGCGTAAGCTGAATTTATGGGCAAGAGGGATGAAGCCGATTTGAGGGACGAGGTATCTCTAAAACTGTGCCTGAATTTGATTGGTTGAGTTATACTCATGCGTAGTACCGCCAATTATAAACGAAATATTAAGAATATGAACATATATTTCAGAATAATACGTGAAAAATTAATAACATAGTGGATAGGAAGCAATTTTGTGCAAAAA